CTGCGGGGGGGGGGGAGCGCGAGGAACCGGCAAGGGAGAGTGAGAATCAATAGCCTTGAGGTTGGAGGGAAACTGGGTGGATCGGTACTGTCCTGGGGGCCAAGTGTTTCCAGAAAAAGGGAGCAATTAATTGTGTCCAGTGCTACAGCAATTCGATAGGTGCGTCCAGTGTGGCATCTAGACCTGGAAAGTCACATGGTCTCTTTGGATCCTTAGCCCTTGCTACGTTTTAAAGGGCTGAGTGTATGTGTGCAGACAGGTGTGCAATATTAGCCCCCCTTTTTTATACAAAACTAGTCAATATTAAGCAGACTAAAAATATTCAGAATAAAAATAAACAGTAGCAGAGAGCATTAGTGGGAAGAAGCAAAGACCAATGAGCTATTTATTGTGTCTCTCCTTCAGAGTGAAATGTGGCCTGATGGAGGATGTGGCCTCATTTATGTCTTGGCATCTTTCCACTTATCTCCTGAGGGACCTAGTATGAATATTCCCCACTGTTGTTCAGTTTTCTCATCTGTAAAATGGCTGTGGCTACCTTGTTCTCTTGGAGGTGTTTAAAGGGGCATAAATCAGTTCCTTATAAAACACAGAGTGTTTAGAAAAATGGCGTATTATTCACTGGCCCATCTCTAAGCTACCTTTTATCTAAGGGTACCTCTGTGTGTGTGTAACATGTCTATACTTTCGGGAGTCAGAGAGGCTGGACTCTAGCACAGCACTGGCCTAATTCTGCTGCCTTTGTAGACTGCTCTGTACGGGATGCCTCAGTCTCCCTTGACATGTGTACATCCTGGGACTTGCAGGGCTTCTGTCTCTTCTGTGGCCGCTGCCCTTGTATGTAAATGATCTCACCCTCCTTTATGCTCTGGACACCTGGCTATAGATTACCTCACTGGTCGGCAAACTGCAGCTCTCGAGCCACATGTGGCTTTTTGGCCCCTTGAGTTTTTAGCAAAGGCCAGCTTAGGAGTATCCTAATTAAGTTAATAATAATGTACTTACCTATATAGTTTAAGTTTTAAAAATTTGGCTCTCAGAAGAAATGTCAATCCTTGTACTATTGATATTTGGCTCTGTTGACTAATGAGTTTGCAGACCACTGGATTACCTCATTCTTCATGTATGTGAATTTTCACTGGTCTCAGCCCATAATGAAGGAGCAATGCACATTGTTTTCCTGAGTACTCACTTTTAGCTGTTTTGGTGAAAGTGGTATATCCTAATTGGCTCACAACTCTTCTCTTTAACTGACAGGTCATCTTCCCATTTACCCAGAGGCCTCCGACTCCGTGTGCCTGGCCTGGAACTACAGAGACGCCCTCGCAGTCATTTGGTCGCATGAGTGTGTGGTGTGTTTCTTCGCCGGCCACACTCACGATGGCGGCTACTCTGAGGATCCTTTTGGTGTGCACCACATCAATGTGGAAGGGGTCATTGAAACAGCTCCGGACAGCCAGGCTTTTGGCACAATCTATGTCTATCCCGACAAGATGATGATGAAAGGGAGAGGCCGAGTTACAGACAGAATTATGAATTACAGGAAGGAAAAACCTTTTCCATTTTAGTCTGACTTATTTTATCCGTATAGAAAGAGGAGCTTTAGCTTTGTGTTTGTGCTCTGCTACCCCGCCCCACACTCCTCAGTCTCGTTGTTTAGTATTCTGTTAGTGTAACAATGTATTTATGGCTTCAGTGTGTTTTGCTCAAAGGACATTATGAAGTCATTTTGGAATGTATATCCAGTGCTAAAAATTGGAAAGAAAAGGAATGAAGGTGCCATGAATGAACAAGGGAGGAGATCGGGCAGGGTGGGGGTGGGGTATAGTCCTCAAAACAGACTTTATTTTAGCCTTACCTGAGACTTAAAATTTTTTACAAGGAGAATATGCTTATTGATTAGCTATGTAACTAAAATTCATAGTAAAAAAGCAGCTCAGGTAAAGCTTTTCCTTTTAACCATCCTATGCAAAAGAGCTTTGGACATTTTTTTTGCTCAGAATATCCATCATATTCTATTTTTATAAGCTTGTGTTCCTATTTTGTAGACCAAAACTATCATGTTACTCCATGGGTGAATGGAGGGTGCTCCCATTCACATGAGTGATGCGTGCCTCTCGTGTGAAGCTCTCAGGAGGGCCTTCAGAGAAGTATGTGGCCAGTGCAGCTGTGTGCCTGTTCCTGGGGTCTGTGTCTAGAGCTGTGTGAGGATAGATAGCAGCTAAATGAATTCACTCTTGACTCCCTTCGTAGATAAATGGGACGTGTCCAACTCAGTTGTCATACATGCTGAGGCTTTTTTGCAGAAACAACTAGATGGCAAATGGGGACTGTTTGGAATGTAGAGAAGGTTTGATTCAGGGCTTAAAAACAGGGATCAGCCAGTGCTGATCCATATGGCTGTGCCTGCCCAGTACCTTCCCTAGGCAGTACAGGTGCATTTGTTTTCTATGGCTATAGTGACAAATTATCACAAACGTGGTGGTTTAAGTAACATACTTGTTCTCTTACAGTTCTGGAGTCAAAAGTCAGAAATTATTTTCACTGGGCTGAGATCAAGCCGTTGTTAGGGCTGCATTTTGCTATGTAAGGTAACAGTCCGAGGTCCTGGAGATCAGGGCCTGGATATCTTTGAGGGCCGTTATCCAGCCTGCCTCCGAGGTGACTGGTGTACTCCCTGTATTAACTAACTGTATAATGGTGAGGAAACAGGCCCCTCCATACCACCATGTGAAGAAAGGACTGGGGGAATGTGGAGCAGGAAATATGTTTGGTTGAAGGGATTAGGGATGGCTTAAAGAAGAAAGAAGAAAGGCTTAAATGGGTGTGGTAGTGCATTTCAAGTAAACAGAATAGCATAAGCAGAGGCACTGAAGGATATACTGAGCTTAGGAGATGCAAAGTAATGATATAACGATTCACCAGAAGGTGCTGAGGTTGGGCAGGTGGTAAAGCAGGAAAAGGTTAGGCTATGGCTTTGTGCAGAAGAGCCTTGAGTGACCAGCCCAGAGTTCAAACTTGTCACCCAGTGTGAGAGCCCTCAGTTCCTGAGCTGGGCCATATATGATTAGATTGGTGTTTCAGTCCAGGCAGTAGATGATGAGAGGCTGGTGTACAAAAGTGACAACGGGAAGAAAGAAAATTGGGGGTGAAAAGACATGTTTTGATAATAGAAATATTAAACTTACTAGTAATACTTCAATTGAAAATAGAGCTTAAAACTAATTTCAGTAATCTCTTTTCTAAAGGCAGTACTCTACCAAAAGTTAGTTCCTTTTATATACATACGGAGATGTAAAGGGAACTATAAATTCACAGTGTGATGTGGGAGATGCAGATACGATGAATGTGTATCTTGGACATTTGTTTTTTTCAAATTGGAACATTATTGTCTTTTAAGCCCAGAATCAAGCATGACTTGGAGGCTGGGTGGGTCCTATAGAGAATTTGCAAGTAAGTCCATTTCCTCATGTATGATCTTAATAATTATACTAAAAAGACTTATAAAAGCCATAATTGTTAATGCAGGCTAAATGTACATTGGAATACTGAAATCCTTAAAGTAAATTTCACTTTAATGTCAACTAGATTTTTCCTCCCTTTTACATCATCTAAATCTTGATCAAGAATTTCTGACTATCCAGAGGCCATTGTGTAAAATAAAACATATGTATACCTCCTTTAACAAACATTTATAGAATACTTAAATTGTATGGAAGCCTCTAAAAATAGAGACAAACTACCAGGCTCATTTTCACTCTGCTGAGTTATGATTGGTGCTAATACTTTTTGAGTGAAATATTTCCGGAGACTCATGAAATCATGTCTTGAGTAGCCCATGTGAAAAAGTTGCCATCTAAAACAGCATTGACAGCAGAAATGTAATGTGAGCCTCTTAAGTATTTTAGCAGTCACATTTAACACAGTAAATAGAAACAGATAAAATGAACTTCCATTATGTTTTATTTACCCCAAAATATCTAAATATTTCAACATGTAATTAATATAAAAATTTTACATTTGTTATACTTTGTCTTTAAAATCTAGTGTATATTTTATACTTCAACCCATCCATTTGGACACTAATTTCATTGGAAATACTTTATCTAAATTTAGATATAAAATTTGTAGTAGGTTCACATAATTATTCCAAGCATGCTTAAAACAAGTGTTTTAAACATTGTAAGTTTCTAATAGCTGAATCGATATGTTCTTAAATTAAAATGAAAAAGAAAACTTCTTCCATCTAAACACATTTCAAGTGCTCAGTGCCCCACATGGCTGGTGGCTACTGTCTTGGAGAGGACAGCTCTAACATGGTCTCACCCCAGGGTTACTTTTAAAAAATATATATTTTATTGATTTTTTATTGATTTTTTTTTTTTACAGAGAGGAAGGGAGAGAGATAGAGAGTTGGAAACATCGATGAGAGAGAAACATCGATGAGAGAGAAACATCGATCGGCTGCCTCCTGCACACCTCATTCTGGGGATGTGCCTGCAATCAAGGTATATCCCCTTGACCGTAATTGAACCTGGGACTTTTCAGTCCGCAGGCTGACACTCTATCCAGTGAGGGCCCAGGGTTACTTTTGAAAATCATTTTTATAATAGATTATAAAATAGACTTCAGTCTTATTTTTCATTTATAATGTAATTAATATTCTCTTTTTGATTCCAAATTCCTTTATCTAATTTTCCTTTCCAAGACATGCTTGCTTATTTGATTCATCTGGGGTCCTCATTTAACTCATGGCGCTGTACAGTTAAATGTATTGAGATTAGGTCAGGGAGACAGTCCCCTCTTGAACCTCTGTTTCTGTCATATTGGTTAAGCCCTGCTTCCCTGTATTTTAATCATGTGTAGTAGCCCTTTGCAAGCACTTTATATTTTCAGAGTGCTCTCATAATATCTAGTTTGATCCTTCCAACTTCCTAAGTAGATCTCGTTTTAATCCTGGGTTATAGATAAAGAAATAACCACCAGAGTTTTTTTTTTTAATATTTTCCAAGTCACATAGGTAGTGGGGAAGCTGAGTTAGAATTCATATTTCTTAACTTTTCCCAACTGCCTTTTGTACTACACTATGACAATAGGATGTCCGACCCCGACTCTTACTAGTCCCATCCAACCCTGTGTTTTAATGTAGTCAGCCTTACATTTCTGGGATTAAAAAAAAAAAAATTCATGTTTATAAAAATGGAATATTCTCATTTTAAGAACAGGATTCTTCATTTCATTAACACATCTTGCAGTGAGTTGTCCAGAGGGATTGCATCTCCTTGGTAATACTTATGTAGAGCCATGCAATAAATGGTAAAACAGCAGTTATACTGGCAATAACCACCCGAATTCTTCCACCAATTGGATTCCTATAAAGACACAAAAATTATCATAAATGAAAATCCAGTAAAAATTATAGGTTACCTTGAAAACAAGTATAAAGATAGAATTTGGTAAAATACATCATTACTTTTTTGTATGATCCTTTCTAAAAAACACTGAGCTATAACATTGATCTTATAAATGTATATATTTTTAATGCAAATCCTGGTTGTTTACATGTGTTGCAAAAAGCTGTTCCCACTACATGATGTCTTAGGTGATTATTTGAGGAGCTGAAGTGGTTGACTAATTAAACAATGTTAAAATTTATTTTTTCATAATGATTTTTGTGTCCTGTTTAAGAAAACTTCCCAGAGGTCTGGAAAATATTTAGTTATCTTTTCTAAGTTTTGCTGTTTTGCTTTCACATTAAATCTATAATCCACCTGGAACTGATTTTTATAAAAGTTGTAAGGTAAGGGTTGTTTCACTTCTTTCCTTTATGCTATTCAATTGCTCCAGCATTGTTCATTGAAGACTGCCTTTCTTTGCTACCTGCAGGGCCATTGTGTCATAAGTCAAGAGGCTACGTGTGGATGGATCTTTCTAGATTCTATTTTGTTTCATTAATTTGTCCTTTTGCTAGTAATAGATTTTAGCCTATACTGCCACTGGATAATTACTTAGGTCTTCATTATTTCAATACATAGGTCTTATTTAATTTCTCTTATAATATTTTATAGTTTTGTGTAGAAATATTTTGCATCTCTGCTAGATTTAGTCCTCGGGATATTAATTTTATTATGTTATTATGAATGCTAACTTTGTGTTATTATTTTGTTACTTGCTGATAAAAGTACTGTTGACCTAGTATCCAGCAATCATGTTATAGTCACTTACACAAATAACTTTTTAGATTCTTTTTGATTTTTTTATGTATGCAATCATGTCACCGTAAATAATAAACATTTATTTTTTCCTTCTCAGTCTTTGAGCCTTCTTCTTCTTGCCTTATACTGGTTAGGACAGAGCTAGAACAACGTTGAGTAGAAGTGTCAGTAGTGACTAACCTCACCTCATCCCTGATCGCAGAGGGAAAGTTTCACCTGCTCACTATTACCTACCATGCTTTGGCATAGATACCCTTTCTCATGTTATCTTCCCTTGTATGCCTATTTCCCGAGAGCTCTTACTATGAATGGATGTTGAATTTTATCAAATGCTCTTTTTGTATAGATTGAGAAGATTGTTTTCTTTTATTCTGTTAATGTAGAAAGCATTGTAGTTCTTTAAATATTAAAACCAAGAGGAGGTAAGATGGCGGAAGAATAGATGGGCGGATTCTGAGCCCTCTCCCGAAGCAGAAAGAGAGAGCAACTGAGGGTCTTGTGCTGTGAGTGTTTATTGGCAAGCTGGGAGATAGTGAACACCAGAAGAAACTGCTGGGGGGCTGCTGACAGAGGTGCCCCTCACAGGGAAGCACCTACGAGGGCTGTGTCCCTGCCCGGAGCTACCTACCGGCTTGGACGGGGAAACCTCGCCATCTTGAGAGGAAGATAGGATCATGTCAGAGTCCTGAATATCCACAGCCGCAGCGACCACCAAGCATCTGTGACCCCCAGAACGCGGATCCCAGGCGGCGCGAACACCTGCCCTCACAGGATTGCCCCACTGCTCAGCGAAAAGGTCAGATTTCGTGGGGAGAGGGTGGAGAGCGCTCGCGGCGAAAACAAAAAGCCTGCGCGCACAGAGCGTGCTCGCGGAAGCTGGAGGACAAGGGCGGTGATTACAAGTAGAAGCCCCCGCTGTTGGGCTGTTGTCACCCTTGAAAGAGGACAGGGCTCCTAACGGGGGAGATATCTAAAGAGCAACACATTTGGATCCGGCTTAAAGGGATATTGGAGAGTTGCGGGAGATTCCAGTTGCTCGGACCTGCCCCCTCCCCCACTCCGTAGTTCCAGCTTCATTACTGCAAATTTTAATTAAATTTTTTTAATTTTATTATTTTTTTAATTTTTAAATTTTTGTTTTTTATTTTTGTTTTCATTATTTGCAACGTTTACTCAAGAAACTATTTTTTTTTCTTTTTCCTCACTTGATTTTATCTTGATAATTATTACATTGTATATGTAATCATTATTACTACTAATTTACCTTTTTCATCTTATTTTCTTTTGTTTATTTTTACTATTTTTATTTCATTTGATTATATATATATATATATATATATATATATATATATATTTTTTTTTTTTTTTTTAAATTTCAGGATTACTGTTCTACAGTCTTTATCTATCCTTCTTTCTCCAACGCTTTATTCTATCTCAACCCTACCTTTATGCCTTCACCCTCTTTCCAATCTTTTCCTTTGATACCCTGTTTATCTTAACCCTTTCCTGCTCTAGATTTCCCCCATTCCTTCTGTCTACCCCCTCCTAAAATTTCACCCTACTTGTATATATCTAATTTCCAACTACCTGCTCCAAACCCATTCACACCTCCCTCGCAGTTGTCCTAAAAACAAAACAAAACAAAAAAAACAAAATAGTCTTTCTCTCTAACTCTTTGAAGTTGTATGTTGAATGTTAACTTTACTGAAGTTGTATGCTTTTCTTTTATAAGATTGATTTGCCTATGCTTTTTGTTTGATTGTATGTTTTGTTAGCTGGGTTCTAGTCACCCTTATTGGTGGTTATTAATATCGCAAACACATTTCTATTCAGTGCCTTGTGTGTTGTACCTGGTTGTGTTGTATTTTGTGCCGTTAAATCAAAGAAGGAGAGAGAGAACTACACAACCAGACATCCTAGATCATGGGGAGACCAAAAAACAGCCTGCATATGAAAGAAAAGCAGGCTTCACCAGAAAAGGAAGTAAACGATAGAGAGGCAAGCAACCTACCAGAGCAAGAATTCAGAGTAACGATCTTAAGATGGCTAAAAAGAATGGAAGACAAATTTGACAATATGAGTAAGACCCAAGAGGAAATGAAAAAAACCCAAGAGGAAATGAAGATGACTCAAGATGAAATGAGAAATGACATCACTACTATGAAGAACTCAATAGAAAGCATCAAGAGCAGACTAGAAGAAGCAGAGGATCGCATCAGTGAGCTAGAAGACAAGATGGAAAAAAATACCCAATTAGAGCAGCTTCTAGAAAAAAAAATTAAAAAGCAGGAGGAGAGCCTATGGGAGCTTTGGGACAATGCAAAACAAAACAATATTCGAATAATAGGGGTTCCGGAAGGAAAGAAAACCGAGATAGATATGGAAAACGTATTTCAAGAAATAATGACAGAAAATTTTCCTGAGATAGAGAAGAAAAAACCCACACAAATCCAAGATGCTCGCAGAGTCCCAAGCAAAATGGATCCCAGAAGACCGATGCCAAGACATATTATAATTAAATTGGCAAACACCAATGACAAAGTTAGAATCTTAAAAGCAGCCAGAGAGAGACAGAAAGTTACATATAAAGGAACCCCCATCAGACTAACAACTGATTTCTCAACAGAAACTTAAAAGGCCAGAAGGGAATGGGATGAAATATACAAAGTCATGCAAAGAAAGGGTCTGAATCCAAGAATACTGTACCAAGCAAGACTATCAATCAAAATTGAAGGGGAAATCAGGAGCTTCACAGACAAAGACTAAAGGAATTTATCTCCACCAAACCAGCAATGCAAGAAATGCTAAAGGGTCTACTGTAAAAATAAAGAGGAAGCGAAGAAGGAACACAGGGGTATAGAATAAAAATAGCATCAAATGAGTACCTATCATTAATAACATTAAATGTAAATGGTTTAAATGCTCCAATCAAAAGACATAGGGTAACAGATTGGATAAGAAAACAAGACCCATACATCTGTTGTCTAGAAGAAACCCACCTCAGAAAAAGAGATGCACACAAACTGAGGGTGAAGGGATGGAAAAAGTTTTTCCAGGAAAATGGAAATGAAAAGAAAGCTGGGGTAGCAATACTTTTATATCTGACAAATTAGATCTCAGAGTGAAGGACATAACAAGAGACAATGAAGGCCACTTCATAATACTAAAGGGAGCAATCAAACAAGAAGAAATAACCCTGGTAAATATATTGTATATGCACCCAATACGGGAGCATAAAAAAACTTCTGGAGGACATTAAGGGAGAGATTAACAGCAATACAATCATAGTAGGAGACTTTAATACCCCACTGTCACCCTTCGACAAATCATCTAAACAAAAAATCAGCAAAGAAATATCAATCCTAAATGACTCACTAGACCAGATGGAATTAATTGACATCTTCAGAACATTCCACCCCAAAGCCACAGAATATACATTCTTCTCAAATGCACATGGGACATTCTCAAAGATAGACCACATTTTGGGACATAGGCAAAGTCTCTTCAAATTCAAGAAGATAGAAATCATATCAAGCATCTTCTCAGACCATAATGGCGTAAAACTGGAAATTAACTATAATAAAAATAATCCAAAGAAATCAAACACATGGAGACTAAACAGTATGCTATTAAACAAGGACTGGGTTACCAGAGAAATCAAGGAAGAAATTAAAAACATCCTGGAAACAAATGATAATGAAAACATAACAATCCAAAATCTATGGGACACAGCAAAAGCAGTTTTGAGAGGGAAGTTCATATCCTTACAAGCCTATTGCAAAAAACTAGAAAAAAGTATAATAAATGATCTAACTCTACAACTCAGAGTTAGAAAAAGAGCAACAAGAACAGCCCAGGGTAAGTAGAAGGAAGGAAATAACAAAAATCAGAGCACAGATAAACGACATAGAGACCAAAGAAACAATACATAAGATCAACAAAACCAAGAGCTGGTTCTTTGAAAGGATAAACAAGATAGATGGACCTCTAGCCAGACCAAGAAACAAAGAGAGAGGACCCAAATAAACAAAATCAGAAATGAAAGAGGTGAAATAACAACAGACCCCCACCGAAATACAACGGATTGTTACAAAATACTATGAACAACTCCAACAAACTGAACAACCTGGAGGAAATGGACATATTCCTAGAAAAATATAATCTTCCAAAACTCAATCAGGAAGAATCTAAAAATCTCAATAAACCAGTGACTTGGGAAGAAATTGAAACAGTCATCAAAAAGCTTCCAGCAAACAAAAGCCCAGGGCCAAATGGCTTCACAGGGGAGTTTTACCAAACATTCAAGGAAGAACTAAAAACTATCCTCCTCAGACTATTCCAAAAAATCCAAGAGGAAGGAACACTTCCAAATTCCTTCTATGAAGCCAACATCACCCTAATACCAAAACCAGATAAAGACAACTCAATGAAAGAGAATTACAGGCCAATATCCCTCATGAACATCGATGCCAAAATCCTCAACAAAATTCTAGCAAATCGACTCCAGAAGAACATCACAAAGATCATACACCATGACCAAGTAGGATTTATTCCAGGAATGGAAGGATGGTACAATATCCGCAAATCAATAAACTTGATACATCACATAAACAAATTGAAAGATAAAAATCATATAGTCATATCAATTGATGCAGAAAAAGCATTCAATAAAATCCAACACCCTTTTCTGATAAAAACTCTTAACAAGGTGGGAGTACAAGGATCATACCTCAACATAATAAAAGCTATATATGATAAACCCACAGCCAACATTATACTCAATGGGCAAAAACTAAAACCATTCCCTCTAAGAATAGGAACAAGACAGGGATGCCCACTCTCGCCACTCCTATTTGACATAGTACTGGAAGTACTAGCCATTGCAATTAGACAAGAGGAGGAAATAAAAGGCATCCAAATTGGAAAAGAAGAAGTAAAGTTATCCTTATTTGCAGATGACATGATATTATACATAAAAAACCCAAAAGACTCCATTAAAAAACTAATTGACTTAATAAATAATTTGGCAATGTAGCAGGATACAAAATTAATGCCAAGAAATCCATGGCTTTTCTATACACCAACTGAGAAACTGCAGAAACAGAGACTAAAAAAGCAATTCCATTTACCATCGCACCAAAAAAATTAAGATACCTAGGAATAAATTTAACTAAGGAAGTAAAGGACTTATATGCGGAAAACTACACGACACTGAAAAAAGAGATAGAGGAAGATGGAAGGAGATGGAAGAACATACCATGTTCATGGATTGGTAGGATCAACATCATCAAAATGTCCATACTTCCTAAAGCAATCTATAGGTTCGATGAACTCCCCAGTAAAATACCAACGACATATTTCACTGACCTAGAAAGAACTCTCCAAAAGTTCATTTGGAACAATAAAAGACCCCGAATAGCCACAGCAATCCTGAGAATGAAGAGTAAAGTAGGAGGGATCTCAATACCAGACTTCAAACTATATTACAAAGCCACTGTTCTCAAAACAGCCTGGTACTGGCACAAGAACAGACATATAGATCAATGGAATCGAATCGAGAACCCAGATATCAACCCAAATCACTATTCTCAATTAATATTTGACAAAGGAGGCACGAATATACAATGGAGTCAAGGAAGTTTCTTCAATAAATGGTGTTGGGAAAATTGGACAGACACATGCAAAAGAATGAAACTAGATCACCAACTTACACCATTCACAAAAATAAACTCAAAATGGATACAGGACTTAAACATCAGACGGGAAACCATAAAAATACTAGAAGCATCCACAGGCAGCAAAATCTCAGACGTATGCCAAAAGAACTTCTTTGCTGATACTACCCCTAGTGCAATGGAAGCTAAAGAGAAAATAAACAAATGGGACTACATCAAAATAAAAAGCTTTTTTACAGCAAAAGAAACCATCAACAAAACAACAAGAAAGCCCACAGTGTGAGAGAACATAGATAAAGGTTTAATCTCCAACATCTACAAACAGCTTATACAACTAAATAAAAGGAAGATAAATAATCCAATTAAAAAATGGGCAATGGACCTAAATAGAACATTTTCAAAAGACAGAAGGAAGGCCAAAAGGCACATGAAAACATGCTCAAAGTCACTAATTGTCCGAGAGATGCAAATCAAAACAACAATGCGGTACTATCTCACACCTGTCAGAATGGCCAACATCAACAAATCAACAAACGACAAGTGTTGGCGAGGTTGCGGAGAAAAAGGAACCCTCATGCACTGCTGGTGGGAATGCAGACTGGTGCAACCACTGTGGAGAATAGTGTGGAGTTTCCTCAAAAAACTGAAAATGGAACTCCCATTTGATCCAGTCATCCCACTTCTAGGAATATATCCCAAGAAACTAGAAACACCAATCAGAAAGGATATATGCACCCCTATGTTCATAGCAGCACAATCTACAATAGCCAGAATTTGGAAACAGCCTAAGTGTCCGTCAGCAGATGATTGGATCCAAAAACCATGGTACATCTACACAATGGAATACTATGCTGCCATAAAAAAGAAGGAATTCTCATCATTTGCAGCAACCTGGATGGAATTGGAGAACATCATGCTGAGTGAAATAAGCCAATCAATGAAAGAGAAACACCACATGACCTCACTCATTTGTGGATAATAAAGAGCATTATAAACTGATGAACCAAAAGATAGATATAGAGACAGTATATCAACAAGTAGACTGTCAAATTACATCGGGGAGGGGAGGAAGATCTGGGGGAGATAATAGATCAACCGAAGGACTTTTATACATGCATATAAGTACAACCAATGGACACAAAACTCTGGGGAGGGAGAGGATGTGTGGGAGGGAGGGAGGGGGGCAAAAAAAAAAATCAATAAAATATATTAAAAAAATAAATTAAAAAAAAATATTAAAACCATCTGTTTTCCTTGAATAAACACAGCTTGGTGGTTGGGTTATATATTGCAGGATTTAATTTGCTAATGTTTTGTTTAACATTTTTCCATCTGTGGTCATAAGTGAGATTGCCATATAACTTCCTTTTGCTTTGTTTTTTTTGTTTTGTATTATCAATTTTAATATCAAGAATATTCTACCCTAATAAAATGAATTGGAAAGTGTTTCTTCTTTTACTGTTCTTTGTTGAAGTTTGACATTATTTCTTCCTTAAATGTTGGATAGAATTTGCCATTTAGTCTAGTTTTCTTTTAGGAAAAATTATAATTATGAACTCAATTTATTTAATATTATGGGACTGTTTTGAGTACTTCTTGTGTCACTTTTGATAACCTGTATTTTTTAACGAATTTGTCCATTTTTGCCTACATTTTCAAAATTATCGACAAAAAATTTGTTCATACTACCCACTTATGAGTTTTGCAATATATATTAGAATTTAGTAATGTTCTGTTTTTCATCCCTGCTATTGGTTATTTGTGCCTGTTTTTCTTTGCTCTCTTATTATTTTGCCAGGGCTTACCAATTTTATAAGTCATTTCAGAGAATGAATATTTGACCTCTTTTATGTTGCATTTCACTGGTTTCTGTTTTTATGCTTATTTTTTTCTTGTTTCTTTAGGTTTAATTTGATGCTCTTTTTATAACTTCTTGACTTGGGGAATTCCTAAGTTTTTGGAAGCTTAGCTCGTTGGCTTTGTTCCCTTTCTTTTTTGTTTTTTAAATATATGTGTTTAGGCTATACTTTTCTAAGCATGATTTTTAGCTTCATTCCACAAATTTTATTTTTTTTATTATTTTTTAAAAAATATTTTTATTGATTTCTTACAGAGAGGAAGGGAGAGAGATAGAGAGCTAGAAACGTCGAGAGAGAAACATCGGCCAGCTGCCTCTTGCACACCCCCCACCGGGGATGTGCCCACAACCAATGTACATGCCCCTGACCGGAATCGAACCTGGGACCTTTCAGTCCGCAGACCGACACTCTATCCACTGAGCCAAACCGGTTTCGGCTGCATTCCACAAATTTTAATATATGTTACTCCATTATGTTCAAAGTATCTACGAAAGTCCATGTAATTTCTCTTACCCAAATATTATTTGGTAGTGTATTTCCTAATTTCCAAGTATATGATAATTGTCTAATTATTTTTGTTAATGATTTCTAGCTTAATTTCTCTTATATTTTTTGGGTCTTTCGTGGCTCAACATCTAATCTTTTTGTAAATATTAAATGTGTATTTGAGAAGAATGTGAATTCTGCCATTCTTGATGCTAGTATTCTGTGTACATCCATTAGGTGAAGTTTCTTTTATTTTTTGTTTAATCAAATTATTTTAATTAACAGTAAGCAGTAAAAGTGCAATTACATGAAAAGCCTCATATTTTACATGTTTAAATTGTTCAGTGTCTTTATTTGTAAGGTGTTGAAGGTGGGACCCACTCGTGAATCTTCTTTCTAGTGGTGGAATAAGGTACATACTGCTCTGAAGTGCCACTCAGGTTGAATTTATGGTTTGTCCAAATGAATTTACGAGCAGTCGGTGGTTTTGTTGTTGGAGGATCATCAGTCATACAATGAAGCCAATGGTGCCACTCCGGGGGCACCATGCTTCCATCCACATCCCAGAATGTATCTTTGCCATTCATTTCAGTAGTGTATTATATATAACCCATCGGTGACCGCCAAAAACCTGCTTGTTGTCTTCATAGTATTTGTTTCCATATTTGTCTTCCCCCACCAACGTACCAACCCTCACATCATTTGTCCTGAAGAGCATTCGCAGCCAGCCTCGGAGGCCGTTGTGGCCGCTGACCTGCTGCAGTCCTCGCCTGAAGACCTGCAGCAACTCCATCTTGCCCCGCAGGTGGGGCCTTCCTAGGTGAAGTTTCTTATTGTGTAGCTCAAATTGTCTGTATCCTTATCGAGTTTTGTTTTATTTTCTTGACCTATTAGTTAGTGCCTGAAAGTCTCCCAAGATGATTGTCAATTTTTCAATGTTTCTATTTTGCCAATTTTTGTTTTATCTATTTTGAGGCTATATTATTAGTTTTATATAATACAAATTTAGAATTCTTACCCATCTGATATAATGGTTTATTATACTCCCTGATTTAATGAATTTTTAGTCATTAAAAAAATGTCTTTCTTTGGCATCTTAAATCCAAATAATATGTGGTGTTGAGATTACCGGATAGCCAAAAGGGATAATGTTGACTCAATTTTTTATACAATCACACTAGGATAAATTCTAAATAACAGGGAGTCCCAAAAGCATGTACACACACCTTTAACAGCTGATAGCTCAATTGATGTTTCTTTTCAGCCAGAGTAAGCTTTGAACAAAGGAAATTCATCCTTAAAAGCTACAGAAAGTTTGAAAATCCAGTTGAAGTACAGACACTGCTTTTTATAATTACTCAAACACCTCATGTCCCCCAAAAAAGATGTGTACACACTTAACAGCTGATAACTCACTTAATTTTCACTCCTTTTTAGGTTTAACTAATTTGAAATACTGGGTGAAACCAGACTAAACTTTGAACAAAGTTTATCCACTAGATTTTTTTATTGTAATACATAAGAATAAAGTTTATGGTACAAAACTGGCAACAGTTGAATTGAGGGCACACAAATACATAGCAAAATGATTCTTGATGAAGCTATTCCTTTGCTTCGCATTATCAGCAATGCCTGGACCAGAATGGTCATCAGTTTGAAAACAGGCATTGACCAAAAACAATTATTCATTTCTATAGAATTTTAAATTTAGAAAATGAACTGTATATTAATAAACTGACTTTATAATCATTCAAAGTGTGTATACACTTTGGGATACCTTGTAGATCAAAGATTTAAATGTAAAAATGAAACTATACATGTATTAGAAGAAAACTTGCTATACTTCAGAAAAAAGAGATTTCTTATGACTCCAAATCCAAAAGCAATAAGGGAAACCATTGCTATATTTGGTTACACTTAAAGCATTTTCATGGCAAAGTAAAAGGAGGATAAGAGACTGCGAAAAAAAAATTTCTAACATATCACAAAGTGTTGATAGCCATTGTATATAAAGAACTTCTAAAAACAGAATAATAACCTTAGAAACAGATTAAACCTGTATTTCTCAGAGATGAGCCAATATTTTATATGAAAAATGCAAATGGATTTTAAGCATATGCAAATATGCTCACCTTTGCTCATAATACAAATTACAACTACCCATTTCTCTCTCTAACCTGTTTGGTTCAGTGGATAGAGCGTTGGCCTGTGGATGAAGGGTCCTAGTTTCTATTCTGGTCAAGGGCACATGCCTGGGTGCTGGGTTCAATCCCCAGTAGGGGGTGTGCAGGAGGCAGGCAATCAATAATGATTCTCTATCATCGATATTTCTCTCCCTCTCTGAAATCAATAAAAACATATTTAAAAATTAAATCTACCTATTTCTCAATTATGATTAATAAAAATTCAAAATTTTGACAATATACTCTTAGAATTATATTTAACAGCAAAAGATTGCATACTCTGGACCTATCAGCAGATGATGAAAATTTGTATATACTACTGAGTGGTTTTTTGCATTTAGTGATGGAAAAATCAGAGAGGACATTGTATATTCTCTAAGATAAGCAGCAATACAAATAAGTGCATATATTTTCTCTACTAAGAAACAATGAAAGGATAAGCCATAAAATTGAAAAAATGTTCTACATGTAGATAAGAAGGTATAGGGTTGGGGGACTAAAAAGCTAGATTTCTTTGAATATACTTTGTTTTGTAAATTTGCCTTTAGGGTTCTTTGAATAGACTTTATATTATGAAACAAAATATATTATTAATAAAGTTTTTCCTAGAAATGAAAGAAACATTAACTGTATTCCCTTGTTAGGGTTAGTACATAGAGTAACTATCTCAAGCAATTTGAATATACATCCCTTAGAGAGCTGTTTCAAAACAAAACAAAAATACTTCAAAGAAATATTTAGTAATCATATTGTTATTCTGAGGTGGTGTTTGTATTGTGGGATAAGTCAAATGAGTTATGTTGATATTGGGATGAGATTTTTTTTTTTTTTTTACAACAGTCTATATGGTCTCCATTTTCAGCCCTCAGGGGTCAAGGTTCTCTCTTGCCATTGATTATTCAGGAAGTTTTTTCTGTATTTTAGTTAAGATGAGATTTTTTTGACATGATTAAAAGGAATTGTAAGATTGCTGATAAGGTTAAATGAAAATTTGTGGTTTTAAATTTGGACTGCTGGGATTAGTAGGAACACATAAGATGTTTTTAAGTATATATGTAAAACTAGAGGCCCAGTGCATGAAATTCGAGCAGGGGCGTGTCTCTCTGCCCCACTTGCACCCTCCTGCAATCCAGGACCCCTTGGGTAGGGTCCCTAGGCCTGGCCAGAGATCAGGGCCTATTGGGGCTTTCCTCCCCCCAGCTGCCAGCACTGGACCTGCCTTGCAGCTGAACTTGCCCCTGCCACTGCCACTGCTTGCCATCTGTGCAGCTCTGTACCTCCTACCCCAGCCATCAGTCTCCTCCCTCTGCAGGTGACAGGTGTGGGGTGGTGTGGGGTGCAATTGCTTGGCTGGCCTGTATCTCCCTCTGTGGGGCAATTGTTGGCCAACCCTGCACACCCGCCACAGCATCGCTGGCCGGTGACCTGGGCTTCCCGCTGGGGACACCAGGCCAGATGGCCTAGGCCTTCCTCTGCAGGGTGAATGATTGCAGGGCCCCCAGATTACAGTGCAGAGGAAGTCCCCACCCACCTGCCACAGTGTCACCAGCCAGGTAGCCTGGGCCTCCCTCTTTGGGGCAATTGGTAGCAGAGTCCCCTATTGATTGCCCTGCAGAGGGTTGCCCGGGCCTCATTCTGTGGGGCAATGGTGGGGCCCCCCTGACCAATTGCACTGCACGTGCCTTGGCTGGCCTGGCACCAGTGCATGGCATAGTACGGTTGCCTGGACGGTCGTTCTGCTGTTTGGTCGTTTGGTTGATTTACATATTATGCTTTTATTATTATAGATTATCTTTTTATTATATAATATATATACATTACACATACATGAGAATTCCTTGGCTCTGTGCACTAAAAAAAAAATAATCAACTGATCCAGTAGCAACAAGCACTGCTTATGCCTGGATTGTGACCTCTAAATACCATTACCTACTGAAAATAACCAGGGCTTTCTTGGGAAAATAGTTGATACCAGGTCTGGGGCTTAAGATGTACAACATTATCTTGGAACATTTTGTCATACCAAAAAGCAATCAAAGATTACTATGATTATGTCAAAAAGAACTCAAGTTCCAAACCTGAATAAGTGCCACTGGTTAAAGATAAACAGCTAAAGAATCAATAAAGATAACTTCCATGGCATAGAAAAACAAACTATGGTGAAACCCATGGCTTTAAAGAATCAAAAACAACAGAACATAAACAAAACGCAATGATCACTCTTGGAAGATGCCCAGGCATGAGACTCATTATTTTGATAACTGGTAAATTAAGAACTCCCTTTTTCCCTTTTCCTCTAACGATCTACATCTCAAAGACTTGGTAAGTGGAAGTTTCTCTTTATAGAAGTTTTCCAACTAATAATCAAGGAATGGTATAATTAGAATAGCATCATTTTGCAACTTGAATTAATGGGCTTAGGCAGTAATCATAAAGACTATTAATGCAAAGAAACAGCTAGGCATTATGTATATTATGATGGAAGTACATAATACCAGCCATGAAGTAGTTTTGCTTAGAAGTAGCAGTAATAATACCAGAATATGGCCAGGCCTCTAGATCTAATCACGAATTTATTGGGAATATAGAACACAGATGAATAGGCATTTACAGCACAGTTGGGAAACTATAAACATTGAATGGAAAACTCAGTTTTGAAGAATTTTTTATTTTTTGTGTGTGATGATGGTAGAGTGGTTATTTTTTAAGTGCTTTTAAGGATACTGAAATATTTACAGATAAAACAATATGTCTCGGATTTATTTCAAAATAAGTGTGGAGAGGACAGTGATATAGATGAAACAAGACTCGGCATATATTGAAAATTGTTTAAGGTAGGTGATAGGTACATCTAATTCACTATGTTTATTAGTCTCTCTGCTTTTATATATGTTTGGATATTTAAAAAAATGTTTAGAGAAATCAAGATGGTGGCATAAGGTATGCACCTGTACATACTGCCTCTCACAACCACACCAAAACTACAACTAAAAGACAAAACGATTATCACCCAGAACACGGGAAAGCTGGCTGAGTAGAAGTTCTACAACTAGAAGGAAAGAAAAAAGTGCATTGAAACCAGCTAGGACATGCAGAGACACGGAAAAGCGGAGTTATGGAAGCATGAGAATCAGGCTGGAGATGCAAGCTCCCTACTGCTCTGAACTCCAGTTTCAGGCGAGACTGGGAACCCAAACTCCTACAGGGAGAAGCTGGACTGTCTGGCATTAGGTTGGAAAGAGAGGGTGGCTTTCTTGCAGAGCTGCTCACAGGAATCATTGTTTACTGTATTGGGTATGGGATGTAGAGACGCAGATGGGGCTGACTGGCAGTCATGGCTGTTTGCCATGCCCTAGTGATTCCCTGAGACCCTGCCCAGTTTACAAACACACTGGAGCTGTGTGCAGTGGCTTTTGCATATGAATGGCCTGCCCTTTTGCAGCTTAGCCTAACAAATTGCAGCTGGGTCAAACAGCTCCAAAACTTCCAAACCCCAAACAAAGGAGAAATCTGCAGATCTCCCTGTAGGTCCTGCTGGGTGGCCTCAGGCAGAAGCTGAGTTGCCCCTCCTGGGATCTCCAGGAGCCAGTGTACCTAGTGATCAGTGTGAGACGACACCAGATTTCAGCTCTTCACATCCATAAGTGACACACTCAGGCAGACTCAGTGAGCATTAAAGCAAGTCCTGTCCCATAAGGGTTTCTCCAGCTCAGCAGTTCTACCATTATAGACACAGCTAATCCTCACAACCAATTGGCCTGGAGGTCAGTGCCTCCCAGGGTATCAATAGCAATCAAAGCTTAACTACAACCAGACTGTGCACCTATCTCACAAAGGGGTTCACCAAGAGTGTCCACCACAGGTGACTGGGGAGGCTAAGCCACTGGGCCCTATAGGTCACCTCCCACACAAAGCCACTCCATTAACACAGGGAAGCAGCCAAAATGCAGAAACAAACATGTCACGAATGAAAGAAATGGAGGAAAGCAAACTACTGGATATAAAGTTCAAAACCATAGTTATAAGGTTATTCAAGAATCTTCTAGAAACCTCTGAGGAACTTAGTGAGACCTTCAAGGATCTTAATGAGAATGCCAAAAAAAAAAAAAAAAAGTAAATAAAAAAATAATAAAAAAATGGAAAAGAACTGGTCAGAAATTAAGCATACACTGTCTGAAATAAAGAATAATATATAGAAATTCAGCAGTAGACTAGAGGACCCTAAGAATCAAACGAAAGATTTGAAATATCAGGAAGCAGAAAACACCCAACCAGAAAGACAAAAAGAAAAAAATATGAAGATAGTTTAAGGAGCCTCTGGGACAACTTCTGGCGTACCAACATTTGAATTATGAGGGTGCCAGAAGAAGAGAGAGGAAAATATTGAAAACCTATTAGAAGAAATAATGATAGTATCATTGAAAGAAATAGATTTACAAGTCCAGGAAGCATAGAGAAACCCAAACAAGAGGAATCCAAAGAGGACCACACCAAGACACATAATTAAAATGCCAAGGGCAAAAGACAAAGAATCTTGAAAGCAGCAAGAGAAAAACAGTTAGTTACCTACAAGGGAGTACCCATACGACTGTCAGCTGATTTCTCAACAGAAACTTTGCAGGCCAGAAGGGAGTGGCAAGAAATATTCAAAGTGATGAATAGCACGAACCTACAACCAAGATTACCCAGCAAAGCTACCATTTAGAACTGAAGGTCAGATAAAGAGCTTCACAGATAAGAAAAAGCTAAAGAAGTTCACCACCAAACCAGGATTATATAAAATGCTGAAGGGTATTCCTTAAGAAGAGGAAGAAGAAGAAAAAATTAAAGATAAAAATTATGAACAACAAAGTGACAACAAATACATAGCTATCAACAATTGAATCTAAAAATCAAGTGAATAAAAAATCTGATGAACAGAATAAACTGGTGAATATAATAGAATCAGGGGAATAGAATTGGAGTGGACTGACAATTCTCTGGCGGAAGGAGATGTGAGGGGTGAGACCAGACAAAAATCTTATACCTATCGATAAGGACAGTGGTGGGGGTTAAAAGGATGGAGTGGCGGGGGATTGGGTAAATGAGAGCTATGAGGGGGAAAAAATAGGAACATCTGTAACCTGAACAATAAAGATTTATTTAAAAATAATGTTTAATCACCAACAGTCCTTTTTCTGTAATTCTGCCCTTAAAGTCTACTTTTCAAAATTGATGTACTAACTTTCATTAGATTGGTATTTAGATCATGCATTTTTTTCCATCTTTTGACTTTCAGTCTTTCTGTATCTATATATTTAAGAGGTGAATTTTATAAGCAGTGTTTAGTGGATTTTTTAATCTTTTTATCCACGTTGAAAATCTTGAACTCTGAATTGGAATATTTAGAACATTTACATTTAATGTGATTTCTTATATACTTATGTTTCTCTAAACATCTGCTTCCTATTTTCCCCATCTGTTCTATCTTTTCCCCTTCTCTTTTTCTGCCTTTTATAATCATTCTTTTATGGTTACCCTAAGGATTACCACATAAATTCTTGATTTATCAAAGTCTAATATAAATTGGTATTACTTCCTAGATAATTTAAGGATTCTAGAATACTGTACCTTCATTTACCCCCTTCTAACATATACTATGCTTGTCATGCATTTTTATTCTTTAGATGTGTAAGCCCACAAAATATCATTACTGTTTTATAAAGTTAATATTCATTTATATGTACTCACACATTTTAAAAATTTGCTCTTCATTCTTTCCTAAATCTCCAAGCTTCCTTCTGAGATCATTTTTCCTTCTTTCTGAAGAACACCCTTTATGTTAGCAACTCCATATGATTACACTGGGCCATGTAGGGAACTGGTATTCATGATTAATGATCATGAAACTTTGAATCAACTATTAGCTTTCCTTAGGGGAGGAGATTTTTATTTCAAAAGATTACTGTTTTTATTTGTGTTTCAATATTCTCACTAACCTACTTGAACTGATCAACCTTGAACACATCTGATTTGAAAACTTACTTTGATGAATTGTGGCATAGACTCATCCATGCTATGATAAGCACCAGGCCAAACAGCTCCCTATAAAAGAGCATACATTTCATCTTTGTGACATGGCTGCAAGTGAGATGCATATCACCCCATTATCTTCATGACACGTAATTTCTGGTTGTTGAATGGCTTCCCACAAGATATTGTATATAGCATCTATATAATATTTTTCAAGTCTGGTATGATTTAAAAATTACTTTTTCTTTGTTTAAATTCCTATGTAAAAATAAATTCCATTTTATAAAGCAGATATGAACTCCATGGCTGTACCCCAACTTAGAAGTGAACAATAAACAAAACCAATAAAACAGAACCACAGCTAAATCACTTCATGTCACTGGGTGGAATACTACAACCAAGAAAATTTCAACTTGATCAGGTATTCTTTTTAGATAACCTCAGAGTGCGTGGTGTTAGGTAGAGCACAAATGGTTTGAGCCCATGTTGCAGAGATCAGGCCATATCTTTGTGAAGATAAATGATTTGTAGTGAGCCAGACTAATGCTAGAAATATGTGTTAAAAGCACTTCCCCCCCCCCCCCAGAGAGGAGAAAATAATTGTATTTGGCCATAGTACCACTGGAAACCCCACTTTGAGTTCACCCACCAAGTTGGTGGAGGTGATTCAACTCATTTGGTTTAAATTCCCACTGAATGACTCAACCTGATCCAGTTTTCCAAGGACTAGGATTTATAACATAGCAGTACCTCACCAGTGATACTAAAAGCTCTCTAAAATCTTCGTATTGCAGATGTTAACAGTGGGATAAAAAGTAAAGGAATCTGGCTGTTTGGCCAGGAGGGAGGCAGCAAAGGGAGAGTTGATAAGAATGAATGTCCATGGCAAAGGGAGATGCCATGAGATACACCAGGGCCAAGCTGAACCAGGTTGACCTCTCAGGTGGCTGATCACACTTATAGGTAAGAGTCTGGCTTCACCCAGAACTGAGTCAGTGCTGATGGAGTTTTCACCTGATTAGACTGGACTATTATCTTTGCTCATTGTAAGGGGCCAAGGTCCGCTGCTCATTGTGGGGCCCAAGACTGAAGTCAGTGTAATGTAATATGCAATGCTGCCTGGGAAGTGATCATGGCGTGGGCTAGATGGTGCTGGGTTTGAGTACATTGTTTCTTCAGTTTCCTCAACTTGTAATGGAGATTACACCTTCCCTGCTTTTCATAGTGTAGTTTGAGATAGGCACAGATAAGGAGTTAAGAAGGATCAGGTTTTCTCCTTCCCACTTCTCCCAGAGAGCAAAGGCCAGTGCTCACCTGCCTTCTTCCTCGTGGAAGACGAACCACTGTGAATGAAGCATGAGGTAGTGTGCCAAGCTGGCAGCCCACACCAAACAAAAGAACGCGAGGACTGCTGCGACACTCTTCCAAATGAGGTTATCTGAAAACCAATCACGGAATCACATTCCAGAGAAAACCAGTCTGTGTGTGCTTTGCTGTGGTCTGCTTTCAGACAAAGCACTCAGGATAGGCTGGGTTTGGTTTGGTTTTGAGGGACATCATGGAAGTTAAAGCCGTAATTATAAACTTAGGTGGACATTTACTATTTTTGCTGTCCAGCATTCCTTTTTCTGTGATGACTACCCTTCTTTTCCTTGAAAATCCACCCTAGCCGCATGGACCTAAGCTAGGTCAGTCAATATGTTTCACTCAAGCTCAGAATAAACAGATGACAAATCAGGGCCAACAACTCAGTTCTTGAGACTTCTGTGACAACATCAGGGAAGTTGGTTCTCTCATATGTGGGACTTAGTGTAGTGAAGAGGTAGACTTGGCCCTGCCGGCTACTACGTGGGGCCTAAGACTGAAGTCAGTGCAATCGATGGAACTGAGAGTAGAGCAGTTAAAATTTTAAGCCCAGTGCCCAAAGCTAGCACCCTTTGCCTTGACAGTAAAGTATCTCAGTACATCTACTTTGCTGCTTGGAGCCCATTCGAGTTTAGCTTTTTTCCTTGCTTGCAATGACTGGAGCCCTAACACACTTTAAAGATACAGACAGAGCTCTACGGGCTTATACAAGGAGCCCATGCACCTGCAGACGGGAGTTTTCCCCACCCAGGTGAGACTCAGTTTTTATTCTGAGGCCCTGTGAACTCCCCAGTCCTACGAGTAGAAGCTGTCTTAAAGAACGTAAAGAATAACTTGCAGGGTAATATTCCCCAATAATAAGAAAATGATAGTCACTAATGTATTTTTTCCTAAGGCACTGCTTTATAGTATACAATTGTCCAGCTTAAGGTTTGTTGAGAGTTTTTCGGGCCATACAAGGCAAGCAGCTACGTTTTGCCCACAATTGAGGAAGTGCTCTATGGGCAATACAAACCAGCTACTTTGAGTGAATCATTTACGTGTACACCCATCTGGGATAGATATATATGTATGGAGTCCACGAAGCAGGTTACAAAATCAATATATGGTAAACCTCTGTTTTTCATTGTTTCATTCACAAGCATTTTTTTAAGAATCTCCATTCAGACTCTAAGGTTCATACCTGTGACAAGAGGGTCAAGTCCAACAAGAAAGGTCAGCACTGTAGGAATCACATATATAACCTGTTAGCAGAGAGAGAGAAGAAGTCACGTGGGTTAGGTATTGAAGTCAAGAAAGGCATCAGGGGCCATCACAGTCCATGATTTACTGTAGGTTTCATTGGTAACCTGTTTTTATGGCACGCACCATGTCAGGTTGTCATGTTATCACTGACCCCCTAATCTCTCCCAAGCAACATCCATGCCCAAATGGCCCTTCCCCACTTGCATTAAAGAAAATGCTCTTTGACAAGTAAGACAGGAGGGGCCACCATCAGCTAGGTGGCCCTGCTGGGTCTGGCACCAATGGACCATCCAGCCCAAGATTCCATCTCTGCAAGTGAGACCACAGAAAGTTCCCTCACAGTCAATCAGATGTGCCCAGTAAGGCCAGGCTCATCTCAGAAACTGTTGGTTTGGAGTTTGGAAGCCTGGCCCTGAAGGGGCCCTATTTTCAAGCCTCATTCATAGCAAGCAGACCTGCTATTGCATGTGTGCTGCGGGAAAAGGGCAAGTAAGGAGATGGTGGGTTTATAAGAAACGTGGTCTTGCTGAAACCAGTTTGGCTCAGTGGATAGAGCATCGGCCTATAGACTGAGAGGTCCCAGGTTTGATTTCGGTCAAGGGCATGTACCTTGGTTGCAGGCACATCCCTAGGAGGGGGTGTGCAAGAGGCAGCTGATCGATGATTTTCTCTCATTGATGTTTCTAACTCTCTATCCCTCTCTCTTCCTCTCTGTAAAAAATCAATAAAATATATTAAAAAAGAAAAAAAGAAAGAAAAAGAAACGTGGTCTTTCCCAGGACAAGTAAGGAGATGGTGGGTGTATAAAAACATGTTTCCCCAAAAAGTAGTTGCGTCACTGCATTAATTGTGATCCTTACAACAGAACGTTTAGTTTATTTAGAAGTTGTCAGAGCTGAATGTTTTAAGTGATTTGCTGACACTAAAAACATGTCTGTCTTTATATATATATATATATATATATATATATATATATATATATATACACACACTTTATTGATTTTTTTTAGAGAGGAAGAGAGAGGGATAGAGAGTTAGAAACATCCTACTGGGGATGTGCCCACAACAAAGGTACATGCCCTTCACCAGAATCGAACCTAGGATCTTTCAGTCTGCAGGCCAACGCTCTGAGCCAGACTGGTTTTGGCAAAACATGTCTGTCTCGAACTCTCTTGAGAGAGAGTGTCTAGATGATACCGATTCTGTTAGTCTTTCCTACTCCCTCCCTAATGATTCCTGGTGTCTTAGCCAATGTGGGCAGGTCCTCTCTCACAGGTGGGAAGTCATGCTACTGAGGGCTAGCCCAGTGCTTCATTCTTTAATGTGCATGTAAATTACCTCAGAATCTTATTAAAATGTAGGTCTGATTCTAAGTTCTGGGGTAGGGCCTGAGATTATGCTTCTCTAATTAGTAGCTCCCGGGGAAGGTGTTGCTGCTGTTCCAGAGACCACACTAAGAGCAGTGAGGGGGTGGTTTTCCCACTCTGAAAAACTACATGGCTTAGCCACCGCAAGGGAGAGAAACTGAACACACACAGGCCGTGCAGTATTTCACTGTGCTTTCTGTAAGAAATGTCTGGCAGAGATTTTTAACATGCGCACTCAAATATGTCATGTTTTTGTGACTAACAGAGTAAAGTAAGATCTCATTTCAGTACATTATAAACATTTGAACAAAGTCATCCTTAAAATTAAGTAATGGTTTCCCATGGCCATTGTGCCATGTTAATCCTTATTTAAGTTATTTTCTCTCTCTTGAATGAGATAATTTTTGGAGGGCAGAGAGGCTAAAAATAATTTTCAGTAACAAACAAAAACACAGTATAAATAATAGCTCAGTAGAACCCATTTTAATAGTCTTTTTTCTGTTGGTGGATTTTTTTTTTAACTAAGGCATCATACTATTCACTCACAATATTTAGTTTAATTCGGCCCTTGTCACTCCTCATACTGCCTCCCTCGTCCCCTTGCCACTGTAAGAATGGGAAAGCCCGCTTGTTCTCCCAGCCCCTTTTGTCAGCAAGGGGCTGTCGTCATATTCCAGCACTGAAATGTAAAGTCTGGGAGCAAAGCTGATGCTTAAAGTACTTACATGCATGGATGCTGATCAACATGCATGGATGCTGATGAATCAGAATGGATCCCAGCCCATAAGTCATATTTGTGTGTACAGCCTAAATAGCCTGCCTGAGGGCTCCTAGGGAAAGATTTCTTCCCGGATAAAAGGGCAGAAAGCACAGGACAAACACTCTTTTGCTCCTGCCTTGTTTCTTCCTACATGGGATGCTCTTGTCTGGAGATGAGATGTTGGGGGTCACAGCAGCCACTCTGTAAACATGAGAGGATATAGCACACATTGAGGAGCAGACAAGAGACAAAAAACCCAGGCCCTTGATGATGCTGTTGACCATGGAGTAGCTGCCTCTGCACTTCTTTTAAGTGAGAAATTCTGTATTTTTATAGCTGATGCTAGTCAGGAATTCTATTATTTTCACTGCATGTATCTTGATACAAGTACGCTTCATGGGTAATATGAAGTAGGGAACATGGAAATGAGGAAGGTGCAGTACAAGGCCCGGGGTCCAGGAGCATAGTATTCATCTGTGCATACATTTATTCTTTCATTTATTCAAGAGTCAATAAGAGAAGGACTGCTCTGAGAAGGTAGGCTGCCTGAGGACATCAAGAAGAAGGCACCGGCCCCTGTCCTCCTGGGTGTTGGTATGTAGAGAGTCAACTCCAATGCAAAGAAAAATGCATAGTGCTACAATAAAGGCGCAAAGAAGGAGGGCTGGAACCTACAGGAAAGGAAGAGAATTTTTTTTTGGATAAGATAGCATATACGTTAAACTTTGAAGCTTGTGAGTAGACATGCAGGAATTTTAGGCGCAAGGTACAGTAACTATTATAACTGGTCTGGGCTTCCAAGACCAAGCTGAAAGGTGGGTTGAGGCCAAATTGTGATGGGCCTTGAATGCCAAGTTGGAGTTTCAACTTCGACATCTTGAGAAATGACAAAAGTTTTCTAAGTAGGAAGCAAAACCCAGTAGAAGAGATTCGAGGCAGCTAGAAGAATTAGGAAGTTATTACGAGGGTCCGTGTTTGGAGGTAATGGAGACTAAACTGGGAATGAGGGAGGACGTCTGTGGCGACATGGTGCTTATTATTCATATTATGGCATCTAAGCATGAAGTGAGTTAAGATGTACAGATTCTGTACAGATAAGCAATTAGACTTATACTGGATTTTCTGTTGTTGCTGGATTACTTTGTTTTACTTGGGTTTTTTTGAGGGGATGTCAAATACAGTAGTAAGACCAGAGAAATGTTTGAGATGACAAGTTTTGAGCAAGGATGACTCAGAGAATGATTCTGCTGATAACAGAAATTGTTGAGTCATAAAGAGGAGTGGGCTTCAGTGGAAAGATGCTGGGTAGGTCCTCTATTTGAGGACCCAGTGTGACATACAGGTGAGTATATCTAACAGAAAGCCTTTCACCGTTTGCTGCATATTTGAGACTTGTCTGCAGAGAAATAATATTTGGAACTCAGGCTGCAGGCTAGAATGCTGAAGAAGAGGAAATTCAATTGATGCAGGGACATGTGAATCTGGACAATATGAGAATATAGTTCTGAACTAAAAAACTGACTTAGAACTTTACATTATAATTCCAAATGCTTTTCACTTGTTGCTAATCCGTACATGGTTGACATTATTCCAAAGCCTAAAATCATCTCATCAGTGATATTGCAGAGTCTTATATATCTGTATTGAAAGAAACTGGGCACAATCTAGATATTTAGAAAGTGTGTGGAATAATTCACCCTTCCTAACCCTCCCCTCCTTCCCCCCCAAGAAAAAATGGTTCAGAGCAGTGGTTCTCAATCTTCCTAATGCCGTGACCCCTGTGAAATACAGTTCCTCATGTGGTGGTGACCCCCAACCATAAAAAGATTTTCGTTGCTACTTCATAACTGTAATTTTGCTACTGTTATGAATTGTAATGTAAATATCTGATATGGAGGATGTCTTAGTGACCCACGGGTTGAGAACCACTGGTTTAGATTGGTTCAATGTATACTGTAGGTGTGTGGGCTTTAGTTATTTCCTATAAATATAACTCACTAAACTAGCACAAACCTTAAGCCTGCCTTTTCTGTTAGATGTCTGTTGGAATCTCTGGGTAGAACTCACATAGAATGGTTCAGTTGACCTTGAGAGTTCTCCTCTGTGTCAAAAGTGTCCTCAGTTGGACCATTTTATTTGAAGGAGATACTGCTGGAAGACCCCTGGGTCTCTGAGAAATTCTGAGTTCACACACACTTGGACCAATTTCCACCTAATATTTTAAGGGAAAGAGCTTACAAAGGATTTGATTTCTACATATGTTGAAATCAAACATATGTTGATTTGCAACAGGGAGGGGGTGGTAGCAAATAGGTAATATTGTGTGTTTGCTGCAATCCACAGCTCTTCCCGACGGGGGAACAGCAGTTCAGACTCACCACCCAGAGTTCTGCGTCTGGATCATTCACCTGGAATTCAAAACATCAGACTCACTGTCAGGTTCCAAGCTCAGGTCTGCTCTTTGATTAGTCTGTCATTTGTTACCTGGCAAACGCTGCAACAGGCACCCATTGAGCACTCATTTATATATTCTGGTTTGAATTTCTGGTTTAAACAGAAGGAAGACCCAGCTTGGTATATCACAATGGGGGAAGGGCCTTCGGGCTGAGCACAGCGCAGCGGGTGATCTGGGCTGAACACAGCGGTGATCTGCACATCCATTCACGCTTTGAACCACACAGAAGAGCCACCTAGGAGTATTGTTCCAGGCCGGCCCTCCCGCCTCAAGGAACCAGGAGAACTATGAGGAGGGCCTCAAGGAACCAGGAGAACTATGAGGAGGGGCCTGAAGGCCTCATCGTGTTCTAAAGGGCTTTGTTTCCAGGTCCTGAATTCGGTTCAGTCTCATCCAGGGGTCTGATATTAAGAAAAGCGCCGGGCTGCTTCTGCTAAGAAGTAACACCAGCATTTAAACAAGAGACGGGTGGGCTGCGGTCGTAGGAACAAACATACCCCGTAGGTAGGGGAGGCCTAAGCCTTAGGGGGCTACGGAAACATAACACCCAATTCCCGTTGTTCTACACTGCAGGCCGGCCCGGCCAGGCGCCTGGAGCCCGGCGCCCTCTCCCACCGCCCTCCGCCCTCCGCCCTTCGCCCGCCTCCGAGGCCGGGGGGGCTGACCTGTACCAAGGCCGCCAGCGCGAAGAAGGCGGCCATCAGCATATTGCAGGCCCTCCACAGGGCGAGCACCCACCGGCCTTCGAGCGCCATGGCTGAGCTGGAGCGATCAGGGGGTCCAGAGTGATGGGCGGGGCCGGCGCGATGGGCGGGGCGGAGCCATGGGCGGGGCTGCGGGTGCTGGGGGCGGGGCCGCGGGTGCGATGGGCGGAGTCTCGGGTGCCATGGGCGGGGACATCAGAGACATGCCCTGCCTGGCCAGGTCCAGGGACCAGCAGGTGCAGCAGGTCGGTGCGTAGCCCATCCTCCTGACCTGGTCTGGGAAGGTATGTGATTCAAATTGCTCAGATTCAGCCCTAGAACCTGCATGAGACTGAGGGTTGTCAGATAAAATGCAGCATGCGTACTTTCATTTGAATTCCAGATTAGCTAGGGATAATTTTTTGTAGCATAAATGTGTCCCACATCATTGCTGAGTCTGGTAGTTGAACTAGCTGGACTATTCAAGAGAAGCTTGCTTTTTGGTAAGCGTGGTGAGCTGGTAGAATGCCAGAACTCATGGACCTGAAGCAGAACTCAGAGATAGAGGGGGCTGATGACATCATTTGAGGCCCTGGATCCAGCCCACCTGAAGCTGGGAACTGCCTCTCCACCTTTCAGTTTTGTGAGCCAACAAAGTCTCTTCTTTATATGTAAGCCTGTGCGAGCTGGGGTTTTGTCACTCGTGACACACAGTGTTTTAAAACGCCGCGGGACGCGGGACAAATTGTTAGGAATCGGGACTGTCCCGCCAAAAGCGGGATGATCTGGTCACCTTATCATGTATAATCATGATGCAGCCGTTAAGCCAATGCTTGAGATCCCATTCCCCCAACCCCACCCCTGCTGGAGGCGTGTCCAGATTTTGCGAAGACAGGGAAGAGAAGTCTTTGAAACATAATGATTAAGTTTAAATGAATCCAGTATCCCAGGGAGCGCTGCGTGAGGAGACACTGCATTATGCACGTTCACCGCAGGGGTACGGTGCTCCAGAGATGACAGGGTGGGTGTGGGCGCAGGAGGTGTGGCCCAGGCTCCCAGCAGAGAGGGGAGCCCTGAACCTGGCTCCCCAGGCCGCCTGTGAGTGGAGAAGGAAGAGAGTGGGAAGGGGCGGGGAAGGTGTTTGGTTTCAGCCGGAGGGCGGTAAAGAGACTGGGCTCTCTGCCCCGTTTTGGGACCTCTCAGCGATTTTTTAGAGACGGGGGAGGGGGTGGGTGTCACACCCGTGTCCTTGACCTTTGGAGCCCGATTAGTTGAAGCCGAATTTGGAGGTAGGAGAAGTTGCGTGACTTTGTTTTCTCTCTCATCCTGACGCTGTGACCAGGCTGCTAGGATGGTCCTTGTCCAGGAGATGGCAGGCTCCTGCTGCCTGAGCGGCTCTGGGTGGAGGGGGAGGGAACGGTGGCCGCCTTGGCTCCTTCCAGGAGGTTGTGATGTCGGATCTCTGGGTGGGGACGCGGTGGCTGCCAGCCCAAGGTGAAGCGGTGCAAACAGAACTTGGTACCAGGAGACATTTGGGTGAAGCGGGGAGTCCCAGGGAAAGGGCTGAGCTTTGTTGCGGTCCTGGCAGAGCTTCAAACCGGCGCCCAAAATCACAGAAAGCCAGACTGGAGCAATCACATCTAAGGAGGGAGCATTCCAAGAGGAAACAACAGTGGCAACGGAGTGTTTACAGCGGCCCGCGCTGCCCTTTCATCTGGCCTCTGAAAGTCGCACCACGCCTGCGTTTCCAAATCCAACTCACACTCTGGCTCCTGTCCCGCAAGAACTGCCTCACCCACTCCAGTCTCCCCTCCCCTCTGTGCATGTGCATGGCGCCATCCATCACACACTCAGTTACTCCTGGATCAGCTGCTAGGGCTGCCCTAGCAAATTAGCACAAACCTGGAGACTTAAAAAAATAGAAATTCATTCCCTCACAGCTCTGGAGACCTGGAGTCCAAGTCCAAGGTCTTCTCAGGGATGCACTCGTGCCGCAGGCTCTGGGGAGAGCCCTTTCTTGCCTCTTGCGGCTTTTGGTGGCTCTTTGTGGCCACACCACTCCGGTCTGGCTGGCCCTACACGTGGCCTTCTCTGGGTCTGTGTCTTGTCCCCTCCGTCTCTGACAAGGAGCCTCGTGGTTGGCTTTCGGGGCCACCCGGAGGAGCCAGGATGATCTCAGCTAGAAGAGAACCTCAACTTAATTCTATCTGCAAACACCCTCTTTCTTAGTGGGGTCAGGTTCACAGCTTTAGAGATTAGGATCTGAGATGTCTTTTCAGGGGTCACCATTCAACTCGACATTCTGGGAGGAAACCCCGAGTTGTCCTTCTGCCTCCTCCAGTCTCATATTGAAACCTTGACTCCCAAAGTGACTGTCTCAGGGGGGACGGGGGAGAGGGGATAATTAAAGTTAAATGAGGTCATCGCTTCTCGGCCTTTTGGCTAAGATCAAGTGTAGTATCTGTTCTTATCAGTTTAAAGTTAAATGAGGTCATGGGGAGGGGCCCTAATGTGATAGGACTGCTGTTTTTCTAACAAGTGGAAGGGACGCCAGCTACCTCTCTCCATGCACAGGGGGAACATGTGAGGACACGACAAAGGAAGTTGCCAGGGAGGGAGCTCTCAGCAGAAACCATTGTTTTGGACTTTCCGTCTCCAGAACTTTGAGAAAATCCAGTTTTGCTGTGTCAGCCTCTCAACCGGTGGCATTTGGTTATGGCAGCTCCAACAAACAAATGCACGTTTGGAGCTTCTTTCCAGCCCAGCCTCCACACGGCAGTGGTGAGACGCAAACCTCTGCTTAAAGCAGCTCTCCCTTCCCTTCTTCAGATCAATCCCGGCACTGCCCTGAGCACCAGGGATGTAAACAGTGAACTAGCCGAAACCGGTTTGGCTCAGTGGTAGAGCATCAGTCTTCGGACTGAAAGGTCCCAGGTTCGATTCCGGTCAGGGGCATGTACATTGGTTGCGGGCACATCCCCGGTAGGGGGTGTGCAAGAGGCAGCTGGTCGGTGTTTCTCTCTCATCGACATTTCTAGCTCTCTATCTCTCTCCCTTCCTCTCTGTAAAAAATCAATAAAATAAAAAGTGTAAACAGTGAACAAAACACCCCCCCCCCCCCAACACACACACACACACACACACACACACACACGCCCGTCTCCTGTGAAGCTTAGGGTCCAGCCTGGCCTAGCTGCCTGGGGCTCTGAGGTTAAAGGCCTACATTTTGAACAAGGTCTGCACAGCCCAGCAGGGTCAGCCTCTACTTAGTCCCTGGGCCACTTTCCTTCTCCCCCATTTCAATGCGCAATGCCTGCTCCCTTCAGTTTCACAGCCTCCCAGTTCTCCCAGTGCAGCCTCCTCCCTGCTGCTCCTTCTGCCTGACGGTTCCCCTTTGCCTTCTTACTAGCTCATCTTTCCATGCTCAGCCTCCTCAAACAACCCTGTATGTGCTCTCAGCACCTGCCTGCCACACCTCCCTTGCAGCACTGATAACAATGGCAATTAAATCATTAGTTGTGCAGCCAAAACAGGTTTGGCTCAGTGAATAGAGCATTGGCCTGCAGGCTCAAGGGTCCCAGGTTCGATTCCGGTCAAGGGCATGTACCTTGGTTGTGGGCACATCCCCAGTAGGAGATGTGCAAGAGGCAGCTGATCGATGTGTTTTTCTCATCGATGTTTCTCTCTCTCCCTCTCTCCTTCCTCTCTGTAAAAATCAATAAGATATATTTTTAAAAAATCATTAGTTGTGCAATTAGTTGTTTGGGTCCTTGTAGCCCACCAGCCTGAAAGCCCCCGAGGTCTCTGCCTGTTTGTTTCCTGTTTTCTCAGCGCTTAGGGAACATGGCAAGTGCTTGTTAGGGATTGTTTCATGAATGAGCAAAGGCATGAACAAACAACTCTAATCCTCATAAGCAGTTTCTACCCTTTAGATATTTATATTTCCAGGGTTCAGGTGTGGAAAGCAAGGCACCGTGTGGCTAGGTCACCAGAGGTCACCCATTTAGTCACAGTTGGGACTGAAATTGAAGTCCTGAGTTTTCTGATTTCAAAGGCGAGGCTCCTAACCGCCATGGCTCAGATCCAGTGCATGTGAGATATGAGAATTCTTATCAGAAAGGCAGAAGAGAATGACTACAAATTAATTAAAGAGTAACTTTCTTTGCAAAACTAATGATTGCAGTCAACAGGAGAATGGATAAATAATCAGTGATATCGGCAATAACAAAAGCAGCCGAAACTGGTGGATAAAGCATCGGTCTGCAGACTAAAAGGTCCCAGGTTCAATTCAGGTCAAGGGCATGTACATTGGTTGCGGGCACATCCCCGTAGGGGGTATGCAGAAGACAGCTGATCGATGTCTCTCTCATCGATGTTTCTAACTCTCTGTCCCTCTCCCTTCCTCTCTGTAAAATATCAATAAAATATATTTTAAATAATAATAATAATAATAATAATAAAAGCATAATATGCTAATTAGACCGGATAATCTTCTGGAAGAAGCCGTGGCTGTGAGGGCCAAGCCCTTTGCACGAATTTCGTGCATCAGGCCTCTAGTATTCTTATAAAGGAACAGGACTAGCAAAAAGGGGAAATGAGCTGCCAAGAACATGTTATTGCATTGATATATTGCAAAAACATTATGCTGAACCCAAGAAGCCAGACTCAGAAGTGCACATGCTGGGCATCTGAGTTATGAGAAACTCTAGAACAGGCAGGAGCACCTCTGGTGAAGAGCACACATCAGCAATGGCTCTGGGGTCGGGGTGGGACTGACTGGGAAGGGGCACAAGGTGATTTCTGGGGCGATGACCATGTTCTTTTCTGTCCGAGGTTTCGGTTACCCAGGTGTGTTTGTATTCGTCTGAACTCAGCATATGTATGCATGAGATTTGTTAATGTCTCTGTTTGCACACTTTATCTCAAGAAAGAAACTCTTAAGCAAATATTGAACTCCAGTTAATGATAAACACACCAAAGTGCTGGAGGTGGCGTGTGCTAGCATCTGCATCTTACTGCAAATTGCTCTCAAAATAAGAGGGATTGCTGAGGGACAGAGGGATGAATCGATGGTAGGCATGTGATGGAGCAAGTGGAACAGAATATTAAATGCGGATTCAAGGTGATGGTGTACAGGTTTTTGCTGCGTAAGACTCAACTTCGCTCGGCTTGAACT